TGTGTACACCCGACTTAGCATCTAGCACTCGAGTTGGGGCTCGCGACCCCAAGCAGCACTAGCCCACCCGGCCATTCATCCATAACAAAAGACAAAARCGCCCCTTCCATTTTCACTCTTCCTGATCTCTCAGGTTTCGGCTATTCTCAGTCTCATTCATGACTCAGTTGGATTAGGCTCCTAGGGAAGGAGTGTTCTTCACGCCCCTTAACCCATAGGCTCCCTAACCTCTCTTGTACTCGACCAATCATTCAATGCCATGGTTTGCTCGTCAATCCGTACTCAAGATTTTCCCCTCTCAAACGCATAATCCTTGTTCCATCCAAAATTCACAATACATCCTCTCCCAATTGGTCTCATCCAAAATTTCATGTCTTTGTCTTAGGTACCCAAAGTAGCTCATCCAAAGGTAGCCTCAATAGCTATCTTCTACTTTAGCGTGACACAGCCTTAGCTGACCCTCTTTTTACTTCCTCCTTAGCAAGCTTCACCATATTATACACGTTCTCGTCATTCTCATATCTTTGCAGACAGAAAACAGCGATCCTTTTCAATGCTAAGTCAACACCTAGTTCCTATTACTGCCTTGCGCCTCGTCTCGCCTAGTTCCTTGTCCACTCCGTTCCTCGGCAGGCTTCCTAACCCCCAGGCCGTAGGTCTCGATCTCTCTTTTCATCCTTACAATTTTATGCAACTCAGCCTCATTGAAAAAATTCAGTGGTGTGGCTTCCACCCCCGCCCTTGCGAGTTTCCGAGTCTTGATAATCCATTCGTGCTTGATTACATTGGTCCATTGCTGAAACCAATGATTGGGCGTTGGCCCGAACTCGTCCTCCCATCTGAAACCCCCATCGCGTGGTTGGTGCATTGGAGACCGCCCCTCTTCCCTAGTCCTTGAGATCTCATTCCTCTCATCCCCGCTGCTGATTTCTATGACTTCTCGCACATCCTCCTCGTCATCCCCCTCGTCTTCAGTCTGTATGGGGCTATACCCACCAGCAAGATTCTTTGGATCGTAGGTAAAAGGGATCTCTGTCCCCGTCCCATACCCCTCGCAACTGCCGTGACCGCTTCGTCCTTCAAGCGGACTCTCCCTTTTCTCCTCATCCTCCTCACGTTCGTCGCGCATACCTTGTCCCCCCTCGCTTTCCCCATGCCAAGTCTCATGTCGTTCGCCCCTGTTGGCCCCTTCCTCGTTAGAGACCCGAGCCTTATCTCCCATTTCTGTGTTGCCTCCTTCTTCCACATTTGCCCTTCCCTTTTCGCCCTCACTGTCGGATGATATTCCTATATCTTCTCCCTTGCGGAGGGGTGAGAGTTTCCTACACAAACATTTCCTTCCACCCCTGCCTACCACTGGCCCGCCCATGAGCCCAATGTACAATTTTCTCTTCGCTGTCCTCCTCCCTTGGCTTTGTCCAGCTTCTTCCCCTCCGGTAGGCCTGTTGATTGCCCCGCTGTCGTTCTCGTTGCCGAATTTCATTTTTGCCTTTTTTCGTTTTACTCCTAAGCCCTGTATAACAAAACAACACCCGCAATGTCCCTCATACACTTACGCTTCCCCCCCCCTTAGGCCGGTAGACATTCCCAAAATGCACCCAATATTCCTCGCATCACGCCCTTTTTATACATGCGAATGCGTCGTTCATGATGACCCCATATTTTTCCCGTCAAAAACTATGGTACAATGCCCCAAACATCCCTTCCCGTTGTCACACAAGCCAGATATTGCAACCTCCAAGTCATGCTACCTTTCAACCTCAGTCAGTCCAAGCCAAAGCACCAGTCCCAAAAAAATGACAGTCCCACGAACATGGTCAGAGACAAACCATAGTGTGGGCAAGGCTGTGGTTAGTCTTTAGCTTGTGGCTCTTCTGTTTCCTTATCTTCGGCCTCCTGAAGCCATTGTTCCACTGGGTCCCGACTTAGAAACCTGACCAGTCGTTGCCCCGGGAAGGGCCCTTTCAATCCAGTTCCATCCAAATTTTCCATTTCGAAGGTGTTCAGTCCCATCCGCTTGGCGACCTGGTAGGGGCCTTTGAACCTCCTTCCCAACTGTCCCGACCAAGTACTTTCTAGTGCCGAGTTCCTTAGTAGTACCATCTCCCCCACCTGAAGTGGCTCCTTTCTGACATTCTTAATCTGGTCTCATCTTGCTTTGTCCCTCATTCTACTGTCCAGCACCCGGCTGGCGATGTCTTCCATGACCTCATCATTCTTAAGGATTTGTTGACATCTTGCCTCAATTAACTCGTCAGTGGTCATTTGCGGATCATCATCTAACCTATTCCAGATAGGTACCAAGGCTTCGACAGGAAAATCGATCTCTCTTCCGTACCAAAGCTCTGCCGAGATACATCCTGTTGTCCTTTTAGGAGTCATATTCTTTGCAAAGACAGCCTGCTTGGGATACCTAGGTCAGTTCCCCAGATGGTCTGCTGCGAGCTTTGCAATCGTGTTCTTCAATGTTCGGTGCCCCCTTTCCACCGGTGCATTGGCCTCAGGGTGATACGGCTCGATGAGTCTGATCGGTACGCAGAGTCTCTTAAGCATCCCCAATACTTCTTGGTTCACAAATTCCGTTCCATTGTCTGCTATAAACCTTCTGACGAACGGGTGCCTTAAGTAGAAGTCTTCTATCCAGTCCGCCACACTCCTCTCTGTCTTTTTTTTTAGGGCAACTGCCTCCACGAACCCACTCAAGTTGTCTCGCGCATCCAGGATATATCTGTACCCATCCGTTGATACAGGCATGACCGCAAGGTCGAGGTGGATTAGATGTCCCGGCTCTAGCACCCGCGTTGGTCTAAGTGGCTCGAAGACTCGTACCGAGCTTCGTTCTTGGCAAATAAGGCAAGTCTGGCAGTATATGGCGACCATGCCTGCCATGCCTGGCCAATAATAGAGCGGCGTTATCTTTGCAAGTGTTCCTTTGGAAGACCGATGACCTCCAACTAACCCGTCGTGCATTGCCTGGATAATGTCTACTTGCCTAGACCTTCCGCACACAACCCTTCTGGGCATAGCACCTTTCTCCCTCCGGAACAAATGCCCGCCCCTTAGGACGTACCTTTCGGCTTCTTCTCTTGCCTTAATACTGACTTCCGTAGGTTGTTTGTTTTCTACCAACAACAACCCGATCTCCCGAAAGAGCCCTTCGTATGATTGGACATAGAAAAACTCTTTTTCTTCCTTGCCCCCATCCTTTCCTTCCTGCATCTGATTTACCACCCATTGCAACTCTTTCCTTTCCCAAGATTCCACTAAGCTCATTACTGCCTCCTGGCCCCCTTCGACCGCCATTGCTATCAGTTCCTCTTTCGGTCCTACTATCGCTCCCCATGAGTCCTTTTCTTCTCTGCGTCCTCGAGTGGTAACTGGTCCTTCTCTAAGTTCTGCTACTACGGCAGGTGTCCCTTTCTCCGAAGTGTGGATCAATAGTTCTCCCGATGTGCATTCTCCGCTCATCATTTCGTTATCTACCGCAAGAGTTCCTCCTTCGTATTCGAGGAAGGCGTCTATGGGCTCTGCATCCTCCATCCCTTCGGGGGTGATGCAAACCCGACTCAGTCCATCTGCCTTGTTGCGGATTTCAGCAATCCGTTCGATCTTGTAATCGAACTGCCAGATGAATCCTACCCATCTCCCTACTGTCGGATCTATAGGCCTGTAATTCTTTAGGGCCCCTGCGACATTCGTCGGGTCGATCCTTAAGATGAACCGCCTCCCAAATAGGTAGGTCTGGAAGGTCTTAAGGCAATGTAGGATGGCTAGGACTTCCTTCTTGAATTGCGAGTACCGCCGTTCTGCGGAGTTCAAGGTTCTACTTTCGAACCTAATCGGCCTCTCTTTTCCTCACTCATCCCTTTGGATCAACACACCTCCTACGGCCAAAGGTCCTCCATCCGTCTCTAGGATAAAGGGTCGTCCCACTTCGTCATTAAAACAAGGCGCGAACAGGGCGACTGTCTCAGATGTCAATATGTCCTTGAGCCTTTGGACAACCCCTTCTCGCTCCTCCGTCCAATCCATGGTTCCTTCTTCCCTTATCATAGCCCGGATAGGCTCAACAATCTTGGCAAAGTTCTTAATGAAGATCCTCCAAAAGCCGACTACGCCTAGGAATGCCCTTACCTCCGTCGTCGTGCGCAGTGTCGTCGGCCACTTTGATATCTTGTCGGTCTTTGCCGGATCCGGCTTCCTGCCGTAAGCACCGCAACGAAATCCTAGTATAGTTACCTCTGGTACTGCTAGGATACTCTTTGGTCTACTAGCCGTAATGTTGTATACTAGGAACCGGCGGAGTAAGTCCTTGATGTCCTGCAGGTGGTCCCACACAAAACGTCGGATCCCTGGCTGGACCTCCGTCTCGTCCTTTTCCTGCGCGCCTTTGATCGGATTGTCATCGATATAAGGTTCATATTTTTATGGGAACCTGTCCCCGGCCACGGCGAGCATCTTGCGTTGCGCTTCGGCCACCACGTTTGTGAATCCCATAGGTGTCACCTGCATCTGTAGCTGGCCTACGGGGGTGTGCATAGAGGTGTGTGGCATGTCCCGAGCATCCAATGGAAGCTGGTCGTACCCTGAGTACAGATCTATCAGGGAGTAAATGCTCCGACCGGTGTGCGATTCTGCTAATAAGTCAGCCTGAGGTAGCGAGCCAGCATCCCGGATGGTTACCACATTCAACTTCTGCAGGTCCTGAATCCACCTTAGTGTCTTGTTGGGCTTCTGAAAGACGAACCACCGATTTGCGTATGGCGATGCCGTAGGCTCCGCAACGAAGGAGTCCATCTTTGCTCGGAGGAGGTCCGTTACCTCTCCCGCTATTCCAAATTCATAGGATGGTCCCTTGTCATTCCAACACTCATGTTCTACCGTGTGGATTCTCACCGGAGGGATCAACCTTGCATCCAGTCGTCCCTTCTGGTGATCACTAAAGGCAAACGCCAGATGAAATTCATGGCAGGTCTTTTTGATCAGGCGGTTTTCTTCTTCCGTTAAGAACTCGTTTATCCCTATCTTCATTGTGTCCGCTACCTCATCTGGTATCCGATGTCCCTCCGTCGCCCTTCTTTCTCGGATCACTCGAAGGACCTCTTCCTCCTTCTCCATAGCTTCTTCCTTTAATGTCTCTAGCAGGATCGAGACCGGTTTTGCTTTCTTCCCTACCAGCTTGTACTTTCGAACACTTCCTTCCGGGATCTTTCTCCTAAACAATGAACAGTCGGAATTGCCCCCGTCGCCTCTATGACTCGTGGTTGAATGCTAACTAATTTCTCATTCAGGCAATATCCCTTTTGCACCTCTCTTTCGAACTTGGCCAAGGCTGCTGAATCCACTCCTACCTTGTGGTATCTGAGGGCCTTGATGAGTTGCAATAGATCGGGGATCTCGAGCGCGATCTCCGGCATGTCTACGCGCACTTCTTTCCGTTTGGGCAGGCTAATACCAAGTTCAACCTCTGACTCCTTTTCTGCTACCATAACACCTAGGACTTCGTCCTCCTGCCTCCTCTTCTTCTGGGGCAGGCCCATCTTGATCCACTCCGTTTTGTTGAATGCTTCCTTAATCATGATTTTTACCCTTTGTCGCATACCCTCCATCCGTGAGAAAACCCCTTTCCGCGTGCTATCCTCGAACGACGGCGACCATGTTGCCAGTTTCCCCTTCGGGGGGTCTCCTCCCGTTCCAAGGAGTCGAAGGAGCTCTCCCCGGCCGGTCACAGGGTCCTCTATGTCTACCATGTACGAGCCATCGTGCAAGTGCATGCCTATCATCTCTACGTTCGCGCACCACGGTCTCCCGAGGATTATGTCGTGGTCCATTTCCTCCATTACGGTCATCCGCTGAAATGACCAGATTGATTCCATGACCCCTGCCTTTACAGCACACTTCGTGACGTACCCAGCGAACGGGATTTCCCCGCCAGCTCCCCGGATGCTCCCTACTACTTCCTTGTTTACCGTACATCCTGTAATCGTTGCGAAATCTCTTCTTATAAGGGTGATTTCTGCCCCCCCGTCTACTAACGCGTCGGTATGATGAGTCCTGATCTGGATTTTCAGCTTTCCTACAGGCAGTGCATGAAAGTTAAGCTTTGTCCCGGGAGGTGACCTCATGACCTCGCCGCCCTCTCGGTCGGGCAAACTCAAACGAATGTCCGCAAAAGTTTTCTCGAGATCCTCCAAGTCCCCGCGACTCCTCTGAAGGTTAGCTACTTCTTGCGGAGCTTCCTCCTCCCTCTCCCCTTCAGGTAGCTCGGGGTTGTCGCCTATTTCTACTCGCCGTTGGGTCAACAGTTGTCTAAGCCCTTTGAGCAACCTAGGGCTAGCCTGCAACATAGTCTGAAAAGACACCGACACCATGGTCCCTAGTAACTTGCTAATGGTGTCATCGATCTCAGGTAAGGATAAGATCGGGATTTGGTACCTAAACTTCTTCTTGGCAGCGAAAACTTTGTCTGTAGGCTCCTCTTCCCTAGGTTTCCCATAGACCTTTTCCGGTTCCTCGGCCTCAGGCTCTGCCTGGGGTTCTGAACTTCCAGCAACCTCCTCCATCACGGTATCACGGTTAATCCTTCTCCCAATCGTCCCTAGCCGAGTAGTCGCGTTCACCCTATCATGTCCGTCGTTTTCCAAAATGAAATTGACCTGCGGCACGTGCCCCTGGCGTTGATCCCAGATGATCTCGCCCACCGGTTCGGCTTCTACGGCTGTTATTTCTAGCCCGTTGAGCATGATAATGGCTCGCCGCATCCCCCCTGGTGAGTTCCAGTTCACCCGTTCCCCTTGTGGTCCAAATATCTCCCCCTTTAGAGACCTGGTACACCTTCTTTTTAGAATATCATGGTTGAGCTTTGGGCACGCGCGCACATAATGTCCTATCGCGGTACAGTACTTGCATTGCTCGTTAGCGGGATCTCTCCGTCCGAATTCACGATTGGCCACCCCTGGCGGAACTACTGCTTCCTAGGGCGGGAGGGGGGGACGGGATACTTGCGCCTGCATAACTAGTAACGCGCTCTTCATCCTTTCAATCTTATTGTCGACTCCGTGCACCCGTTCGTGTAGACTTTCAATCCCCTTTTTCACCTTGTCGCCCATCCTACTGGTCAAGTCTATAGTCTCCCCTTCCTTAAGCAAGGCCAATGTCTCGGTCACTACCGTCTTTTCGGCCAGATCCGTTACCGTACTGAAATCAACGTCCCTGGTGTTTACAAATTTGCTCGTCTGTTAGTAAGCCGACATAATCTTGTCTTTGTCGAACTCGAAGAACTGTCTGAGGAAATACTTACTCATTATTTGATCTGTAACCCCGGGGATTCTTAGTGCTACCAAAGTAAACTCCCGTAGGAAGTCATTGTACATTGCGAAGTTCTTTCTCTGGATTGCCGCTAAATCGGCCTCCGTTGCCATCTTTTCTGCTGCCAGATACTTTCTCATCATCACATCCCGGGTTTCTTTCCAAGACCGGCTTGCAGCTACGATGGCCATTATGTCCTGTCCTAGGCTCAAAGACACATGCTGTCCCAGGTGGTCCATCTTCTCCTCTTCGGTCCATTTCAACAGCGCAGTCAAGTTCTCGTAATCTATCAGGAATTGCGTGATGTTCGCCCCATCAAACGTCAACTTCTTCTTAGCATCTGCTAGGTAGCCTTGATTTTTGTTTAGTGCTCGCACAAGGGATGACACTATCTTCTTAAGGCCGCCCTCGGAGCTGCTGGCCTCACCTGTCACACTGTTATCCGGACCTTCCTTGCCGGCCTTCTGTCCCTCCCTGATTTTCGTAGTTCCCTCTGGGTCAAACCATCCCAACATTCTTTCCCTAAGGCTCCATAGTCCTTCGCACCCTCGCGTCACTGCTGGCGTGGTCAGCAGGCGGCTAGCCCTACTATCTATGGCTGGCGGGGTCATAGCCTTTTCCACGTCCATCCCTGGAGAGTTCTCCTCTTCTTTCCTTCTTTTGCTCGGCGTTCCCCCACGGTCACTACCTTTATCCCCTTGTCCAGTCCCTCCTCGGTCGGTTCTCCGTTCGTCCCGGGGTTCCTCCTGCAGAGAGCCTTCTTCGTTCCCAGTCATCATTTCCTCAATCAATCTTGCCTTGTATTCCGCGGTCCTTTTGTCTATCTCGGCTAGTCTGCGCCTCGTATCCGTGACTCTTACTTTCTTAGACACGGCTCCCTCCGAGTTCTCGGGGTTTGTCCTATCCTTATTACTGCCTCCCTTGGTCCCCTGAGTCCCCTGTCTGCTTCCCCCAGCTTTCCCCGAGCTTTCCCCTGTGGAGATCTCCTTCCGTTTTCCTTTGGTACCATCCGGATTTATCGATTCTCTGTCCTTCTGCCCCCCTTCGCTTTGTGCGGCACTGCCTCCTAAGCCCGGTTCTCCTTCACTCTTATGATTATCTGTTTCCTCCTCCGTTGCCATTTCGCCTAGTTCTGCATAAGCCAAAGAATTCCCAGGACACACGCAATGCGAGGCATTTTAGGTTTCCTATGCTCCCAGCCCTGTTGGCTTATCTGTATAGCCTCCTTTCTCATCCTCGTTTCCTGATTGCCCTTCCTTAAGGAGGAGCCACGACTGGCCCTGCCGCTCAGCCCAGCTATGAGCGTGACTTGGCTTCCTTTATCACAAGCCTGTTTGTCGTGCCCTTGTCCCGTCGGGCCGATGCGAGGGAGTTCGGGTTAGGCATTCTGCTAGGGAAAGTCTTTCCAAGCAGTGTTTCCTATTTTTGACCTTCAGGGTTATGGTCAATCGTTAGGAGTCTACCCCTTTATTTGTTTTCCTAATGGGTTTAGCCATCCGGGTCCGAGGCCCCTTTCTTATTCCCATCGGCGGATTTCCGTACGCAGCGAACTATACTGGATCTGCCCTATTGGCCTGCCTGCGGATCCTAGTCCCGCTCGCGCCCTCGTGGTTCTTCCGGTTCGGTCGGCTCCTCGAAAAGCTCGGCCACCCCTGCCAAATAGCTCTTTCCTATCTCGATTTCCCTTTGGAGTATGCGTTCATGCCCTGTCTGGTCTAGCCAGGGCGCATGAAATATCATAATATGGATGACCTCCAGTAACTCGTGGACCCTGTTTCCCCAGAACGGCCCATGCCTCACGGCGACATCATAGAACATCCCGATGGTTAGAGAGGGAAAGTGGTCTGCCCACATTATTGCCGAGTCTGCCAGCTCTCGCGCCCTTGCGAGGCTCCCAAAGACGAGATCTATCATAAAACGGGGGACCCAGAACCTCAGCGGCGTGGTTGGTGCTCTGAATTCATGCCATCCCCCCATTTCCACCCGGGTAAGTAAGCCCACGTTCCTTCTACCCCTGACTGATTGTCCTATCCGGGTCAATGTCCGGGCGACCCTTTGAAAAACCGGCGCCAGCTCGTGACCTTGTGCTATCTCTACCCCCAACGAGTGTCAGCCGATCCCAGGCAGATACATGGTCCCGGTAACTTCCAGATTGGAAAACAGATCGTCCCCGGGTCCTCGGTCGAGTCTCATCCCTCTCCACCGACATTCTACCAACATGAAGGCGGCGTCCCTCCCCAAAGTCACAACCCGCCATTCTATATCGAACCCCCGATAAGTTGAACTCGGCGGGAGGGATACTTCCCAGCGTCCACCGTTATTCCACGGCGGTCCAGGGTACCGGGGTTGGTGCGCCATTCGCACACGGGCCTGAAGTTCCATATGCTCACGTCTTGCTGTCATGGTTACCTTGGTGATTTCCTGCATGATCCACATAGAAAGTGTTACAGCCAATCCTTAGAAACCGTCCACCTACTGCCCCCTTGTCCTTCGTGTTTTCATTTCCCTTTCTAGTCCCAACTACCCCTCTATACCCCAGGGAGCAGTAACCTCCTCGGGTTGTTCATACAGCCGGTAGAGATCATCTATGTAGGTCGCGCCCCGATCTACCTCTCGCCGGATGAATCTCCACATGGTCTCATTACTTATTTGCGGGACTCCTGACCTAGTATTCATCGTTGCTCGTAGAATGCAAAGCACCTCGCCCCCTTGTTCGTCCCCGAAAGGCCCCATCTCTAGAAAGGCCCGATAGTACTCTCGATACATTATCGCTTCGTCAAAATTTAGCCTACTTACGGCAGTTACCGCCTGCTCCACTCGTTTTATGCCTCCCATTCGTCTTAGCAGGAAGGGCGACAGACTCATCCGTACGATCTCATTCGGCAGCTCAAAGACCCCTGCTGCGGCGACTTTTACCTCAGCCGTCACGTCATCTCGTTCCGGATCTGCAAACTCAAACCCCTCCCGCCAGGTTATTTGCCATGCTCCTTCGAACATTCGCACGGGGTCATCCCCGGAAGCCAAAGCAATCCCAAAGGTCCGCCATCCTTCTTCTGACAGGTGTAAGGATCCCGTCGCGTGTACACGCCCTGGGCGGTTGAAGTCTACGCCCCCGAACTCTCCTCTCGCCCGCCATTCTAGCTTCACTACTAGGTACACCGTATCTTCCACCAACTCTACCCCCACCCAGTCCATTACCAGATTGCCTACCGTATTTCTCGCCGGCAGGCTTATTTCGACCCTGCCCTCTGATATTCTTGGTGGCAGGATCCCACGAGGTCTATCCACCCAGAACGTCATTCACCGGACCATCTCGCAATGTCTTCTTTCCTGCTTTCTTAGTCCGATCGCTGCACCCACCGAGATTCCATACCTTTCGTGTTTTAGTCTTTCAACCCTCCCTACTTAGCGTACACTGGTTCCTGCCGCTATCCCCAACTCATACACGTTCAATTCTACCCGACCCTCATTTTCCAGTTGTTGTCACTTCCCCCTTGTTTCGATCCTTATGCATCATCTACGGCCTAATGTACACATTCTCTTTCTTATGTTACACCTTACTTCACAAGCACCCTCCATACTCAGGCCTTTTCACTGTGTTTGATTCCTTGGCCTCATTCAGTCGAACCACAGTACCTCAAATAGTTTAAAAACGTCGTCTACGTAGGAGGGTGCAGCCGCTGCCTCCCGGCTAACTATGGCGTCCCAATACTCCGTCTCTACCTCTAGGCGGTCATACCTGCTTATTCTTAGGACGATGATGACTTCCTCGGCTTTATCCCCGTTGAAGGGCCCATATTTCAATGAGAGCCTATAGAACTCCTCAGTCAACCAGGCACACTCTATATGCACCTTTCTCATGGAGTTGGCTACTTCTAAAATGTGTTCAACCCCCCCAAACCACTCGGCTATGAATTCCGGTACCCAAGCCGTTATCCGTAGACTTGGGGGCTTGAGTTCCTTCCATCCTCCCATCACAACTCTGTTACTAACTTCGTCCCATCCCTCGTTGGCGAACAGCTTGCCTTCCTCTCGGGTTCGGGCCTCGACATCCCCTAGAAGCCACATCGGGTCCTGTCTCATTGCTAACATGGTGCAAAACAGGTGTCATCCATCCTCGGAAAGGACAATCGTTCCAACTGACTCTACCTTGCCTTCTTCTATATCATCCCAACCTTCCTCTTCCCTTATCGAGTTCCAAATCCGCTCTATCCATACATATGACAAGTCCCGGGCAACCTCAAACCCAATCCAGTCGCACGTGGTCCCTCTCCATCCGTTCCCTGTTGGTATAGGCATTTCTATTCCTCCTCTGAGTCATCATGGTTCCCAGCCTTTGAAGGGGTATTCCATCATCCTTTCTTCTCTAGTCATCTTTCCCCTTTCCTGCACAATACCAGACCACCCGTCCTCCCTAAGTTAAGTCACCCTACCCCTCTTAGGAGTCTCAGTCCTCTATCTCTTCATCTTCATCTTCATCACTGAAGTCGTCCTCCTCGTCGTACACCAACTCCCTTACCCCATCTAGGAACGTCTCCCCTATTGCCACATTCTTGTAGACTATCCCCCAATGCACAGCACTAGAAACAAAGATATTGTCTATGCTAAGACAGTTTAGTAGCTCGGCTAACTCGTCCGCCCAGTTCCCCTCGAACGGCCCCATCTCTACCGATAACCGAAAAAAATCTTGCCTAGCGCATTGGTATAGCCCGAGGTTCGTCATGGACTGGCATATCCGTACTAGCCTGCTCCGCGTTCCAAAAACTGCATTCACTAAGAAGGGAAGCAGCACACATCGCATGGTTCTTACGGGTCGCCTCATGCTTCCCTTATCCCCAAGTTCCACTCGCACCGACGTATTCCCTAGTGCCAACTCTATGATCATAGCTCTCTCCCCACCTTGTGACAAGTAGACCCACCCCCGGGCTTCCACTGTCCCTCGGAATTCCAAATCCATTAAACTTGGTGACAGCCTCGTCAAGCTGACAATAGTCCATACTGTTTCTATCCAAAGGAAAACATCCTCTCCTTTCAACATTACCGTTTGATACGCTGGTTCAAGGTCCGTCCATGTTCCATTTTCCGGGAGGACGAGCGATACCCCATCCTTTACGTCTATTGGCATCTCTGGACCGCTGGTATAAGTCGGGGGAGACAACCATCACGCTATCTTGTTTCCAGCACCCGGCCCCTGTTTTCATGAAAGAGTACCAACCAGTTCTTCTAGTCAGGCCAACCCCTTTTCCTAAATGAGGATTATTTCAGACCCCCCATTAAGGTCTCCCTAATTTACCTTCTCATTCCTAAGTACCCCTTTTCCCATAATTCCCTCAGTCGGCCATCCATTTGCCCACATTCTTTTTCTTGGTTCCATTCCAATTGACCTCTATCCTTTTTCCTTCCGATCATCTCTCACTCGTGTGGACTTAGAAGGGAGGGGGAATAGACTTAGAAGAATACCCGTCCAACAATCCAAGCTCAATCAATCTTTATGGGGGAGGGTACAAAAAAATCAGGCAATCTCACATACGGGCCGGTCATCTCCTCACCGGTCATCCCAATATGGTCTCTCCGCTGGTACTATCGGTAGGGTTTTATCCCATACCTCAAGCACAGCTCAACCGTCGCGAGCGCGGTACCCAGGTCTCAGCAAGGNTACCTCAAGCACAGCTCAACCGTCGCGAGCGCGGTACCCAGGTCTCAGCAAGGCTTTCGCCCTTTCCTCCTTACCCAGAATACCCCATCCCGACTTGCCGCTCATGTACCCACCGTTAATCTCGGGAATCACCCCGCACATCTCGGTAGGGCCATTGGAGCCAGTCGTCCAGTCATTCACTTCCATCGGTCCGATAAGGAACAGTTTTTCCCAAACCATGCTACGAGAAGCTCTCAATCGCCTCCGAGGCTCCTTCCTTGCCCCATATGCAGTGGTCCCCCTGTCGTCTGCCGCCAAGCAGCTGCCCCACCTGAAGAGGTTTCACATCCCACCTGGGCAAGATCATCGAGCCATGCTCGGACCGCTCCGGTGAGAATGCTACTAGTCAGCCGACGAGACCAACTCTTGCCTGACAGTCCGGTGGCCCGACCCCCACACACGGAACCCGGTGAACTTCAAAGAGGACGACCAACTCGCATCCCGCACCGGCCAGCGCAAACCAATCCTTTCCTTCCAAATGGCAGGACGCTCGAAATCTCATTCATGCAATCACAAGTCCCAAGTGGGACACACATAGTACAAGTGTCTTTCCCTTGATGCACTCAGTGCTTCCTACCCATAACTCACAGATTTTCTCTCAGGACAATGAGTGTCACTCCCCCTTACTTTCATGCATAGTGGTTGGTTCCTTCTCGTGAGAGTCTTCACGGGTGAGGTAGTTTTCCTTGGAGTCTAGCAACTCCCTTCATTCCCTTCTCTTCACTTGTTTGTCCTTTCATAGGATAGGATTGTTCTTTCTTGATGACCCGTTGTTCTTTCTTGATGACCCGTTGTATTCATATTGGTTCCTTCAGTCATTAAAAAAAAGTTCAAAGTGTATGAGTCCGCTGGGCTCAAAAAGAAGAAGGGGAAAGCACCCATTCGGTCGAATCACTCCGCCATGGGATTTTCATTGGAGCCTGGTCTAAGCCAAGCACCAACCGCCTGCCAGGTAACCGAAGCCCTTCTTTCATACCAAGAGGAAGGGTCGACCTGCGACTTGCCCAAGGCTTCCCCGTACTGGCGAACACCAGCACCGGACGAAGGAGGGCTAGAGCCATTCCTCAAACGAACGACTGATCAAGTGCATAACATGCATGTTATACCTCCAGGCCTGGCCATGCCATGCGCCCAGCCACCCTCAAATCTGATTTCTCACAAGGGAAAGAGCAAACACAAGTCCATTTTCCTTATCTTGGGTTGTGTACACGTGAATGCGTCGGGTGCCCCCGTCAGAATCGCAAGGGTCAATTTAACCCCATGCCCATCACCTCCACCATTTTTGTAGGGCCAAATCCCGGTAGACTTTCGCGCCTTAGTCGACCCCACTGCGGGTCCCAGTTGGCTCGGCCCGCCCACACTCATGCTCAGGGCGCGGGCCATTCGTCCCGAGGTCACCCCCACCTAGTGCTTTGAGATGGATGGGGGTGGGCCATCGCGCGAGAGAGCTTTGACATTGGGGATGTAGCTCAGCCCTCACGCCGGGTGGTAGTCTCGCTGGTCGTTCCGCAACGCTGATTTTTTTTTATTCTTTATTGTGTTCTCGAGCAACTGCTCCTTCCAATACGCAGGCAGTATAGGGGTTCTTTGAGCCTTTCTCTTCTCTTGTGCGTAGGCTAAGCGTCATCCTTAGGCCACGCACCATTTCCCTAAGCATTTTGGCTATATGGCGTCATCGGGGTGTGGTGGGGCCGTCCTCCCCCTCGCCTCTACGCATCCATCGGATCTCTCAATTTGCTTCCCACCTTATTGAAGTAGGCCCCTTAGTCTTTTCGGGGTCCTCATATGCATGCAGACACAACATCACTTTTTCCTTGGCATGACAGCACTCCCATTTGCACCCCAAGTCTTCAAACGCACAAGTCATATCCATGGGGTAGTTCTATGTCAAGGGTCCCATAGCCCCTACGCCGTCTTCCCTTTCCCTCTTGATGCCCGGTTCCACTTGCCCCTATCCCGCTCAAGGCATCTTTATCCATCACTTACCTGCACAATCCCACACAAACAAGAAGATYCATACAATCCCCCATCGGGGGTCAACACATAGCCCTTCCCACATGCCTATTCTTTCAAGTCCTTTGGCTGCTCATTGTTCCCTCTTGTTGTTCAATCAGCCCATTCTCTTCTCATAGTCATGCACTCAGGGAGATGGTTGAGTCAAACTGACCTCACTTTCAACTTATGCTTTCTTCCGGATTCCGCCTCTCCCACTTCCTTTTTTGGACGTCCTCTCTCTTGCCTTCTTGGTGGCACAAGGGACCGGCTACCCCCCCTTGACCTCTTTCTCCACCGAGTGAGGTCTGATTTCGTTCTCCGCTCGTGCCCTGACAATGCTTTCCAAGTGAGGGGGGAGAAGGGTTAGTCATATGCTAAGTGAGGGAAAGGGAGAGAGAGGGCCAGATGATGATGCGAGAGAGAGAGAGGGGAAGAAAGAGAGAGAAAAGGCAAGGGGGGGAAAGGAGAGAGGGGGAAAGATGGGGAGAGAGAGTGAAGGGAAAGGGATAGGGGGAGAGCGAGAGAAGGAAGGAGGAGAGAGAGAGAGAGAGAGAGAGAGAGAGAGAGAGAGAGAGAGAGAGAGAGAGAGAGAGAGAGAGAGAGAG